ATGTGTGATTCATTTTAAAATTTACGAAATATCTTAAAGGGGATTAACAATTTACCTATTTGCATTTATCCAAATAGGTGGGGGGAAATTGAACCTAAAGCTCAGTGAGAACATGCACTTTAGAATTTATTTTGCGTAACTTTCATCATATCATTTTCATCTTCTCCGTGTTCATGTTTTACAGCAGACATCCAACATAAGATATGGCACATTTTTTATTTTGAAGACACAACAATGACCCAATTGTCGGTTCTCACAACTCCAAATATGAGTTTGCCATTTGTGATAGAAACAAATGCTTCTACCAAAGGTCTAGGTGTTGTTTTGATGCAGGGTGGTTGACTGATGACTTTCTTGAGTCAACCATTGTTTGATCGTACTCATCATAAATCAGTTTATGCAAGAGAATTGATAACCATTATGATTGTAGTACAAAAATGACACTATTACTTAATGGGAGAATATTTCATCATGCAAACTGACCAAAAAAAGTTTGAAGTTGTTGATGGATCAACGTGTTTTAGGAGATGAGCAATTTAAATGAACTTCAAAATTCATGGGCCTTGATTTTGATATTGTTTACAAGCCTATATGTGGTAATGGGGCTATAGATACATTTTCATGCAAAATTACTTTTTGTGTTCTCTCTATGATTCAATTCTCAGAATTGGAGGAATGGGAAATTGGGATGCAGGTTGTTGGACTCGAGACTTCACATACAAGAGGGCGTGAATTGTGTGGTTTGGGAAAATGTGGTTTTAAAACTTTTGCTTGGTATATTCAGAGTTTAAAAATATTTTTCAAATATTTGAGTAGCAGAAAGTAAAATTACTATATTTAAATGCAGAAAATGAAAAGATAAAGGTAAAAAAGAGAACGCCCAAAATTATAAAAGTTCAACGAAAACAAAAAGGACATACTCCTCTCCTCAAAACTTGATCTTGAGAATTTCCAATAATATTCGAGAGTTTTTAGTAAAAAAGACTCACGAACTCCCTTATACTAGAAAATAGTGGTTGTCCTACAACTAAATGATACAAGACGAATGAAGTGGGTGTTTGCGTCTTTTATCTAATAATTTGTTGAAAGTAAAGCGGCCAAACTTTTTTCCCAAGTGTAGATTGAAGCGATTAGTCTTCTCTCCACAAACACGGATCTTGTAGCGGTTAATCTTAAAATTCCTAAAATATATGAGCTCAATTTTAGTTTAACAAGATAACCAAATAACCTCTGAGATTTTAACTGTACTTATCTCTCAACATATGAAGATTTTAATATCAGATTAATCTTCAACCTATATATATATATATATATATATATATATATATATATATATATATATATATATATATATATATATATATATATATATATATATATATATATAGGAACTGATCACACAATTCCCAATGGTAAGATTTTAACGAATTTACCTAAAACAACATATACAATTCCTATTCAATCAAGGTTTAAAAGCATAGTCACCTTGGTGAATTTATACAATTCTATCCTTTCAAAATTACAATGACAACCTCACTCACAAATGGTACTTTCCTCACAAGCGTTTGCCTATAAGAACTAGTGAGAAAACGTTAAAAAAACATGAAACTTAGAGAGTGTGTGTGTCAATATATAAATTCTTGTTCTGGATGATAACAAAAGAAATAACATTTAAGCCCAAACAAAAGAAATAACATTTAAGCCAAAAAGCTTTTATTTAATCAATTGACACTTTTTCTAATCGGTTGATTTTTGAAAATTAATCGTATATGAGTTCCCAATATATATATATATATATATATATATATATATATATATATATATATATATATATATATATATATATATATATATATATATATATATATATATATATATATATATATATATATATATATATATATATATATATATATATATATATATATATATATATATATATATATATATATATATATATATATATATATATATATATATATATATAATCGTTGCATTGAATCTGAATGCATTCAACTTGTCTTGCGTCTCAAGTTCGTGTCAATCTAATCGGTTAGCATTTTTCTCCAACCGATTAAATATAGTTAAAAATTATTTTATGACTTTATGACTGCTTCCATTCTGTTCCATACAACTTCTATATGTTTTTCAAAGTATTTTTATTTTTGGTAAATCATTTGAGAAAATATTTTAGTGTGTGTACTTTTATAACCACATACTTCTATGAAAAAGCCCCTTTGCCTTTACATAGTTTCACTCACTTATTTATTTGAGATATTTTCTCTAAACTTTATTGATTGTGATCTTTTTTATTTTGACACTTGCTTGAGATCTCTTGAAGTTTTTAATAGAATCTAATTTATTTGTCTTTATCTGATAATCATGTTTATCAAACTTTTATATTCACGACCTGCATTTTTAACTGTTTAAGTACATTGTTTGACTTATCATTGGTTGCGACCTGCATTTTTAACTGTTTAAGTACATTGTTTGACTTATCATTGGTTGCATCCTTATCATGATAAATGTCTCTGTACTTTTCTTTATAGTTCTCATCATCAAAAGATGTTTGTCTTGATTAAAAATTTATTATCTACAAAACAAAGTTTCACACAGATTGATCCGCATCATACTGAATTTGATTTAACATTCTCAATCACATCCAAGTTACACTTTTGTTGATAGAAATTTATTTTATAAAGGAAAATTGGTGTTGCCCAATAATTCATCTAAGATACCAACCTTTTTGAAAGAATATCACGCTTCAGCGGTGAGTGGTCACTCTGATTTTTTTTAGAACTTATAAGAAAATTTCCATTTTGTTATTCTAGAATGGAAAGAAAAAATACATTCAATCCTTTGTGGCATCTTGTGATGTGTGTTAGCAAAAGAAATATTAAACTTTATCTCCAACATGTTTACTACAACCATTACCTATTCCACAATAAGTATGAGATGATATCCATGGATTTAATTGAAGGTCTTCCAAAGAGCTATGGAAAGGATGTTATATTAGTGGTGGTTGACCACTTTATTAAATATGCCCATTTCATTTCCCTTTCACATCCTTTCCCGACCAAAAGCATGTTTCACATCCTTTCCCGACCAAAAGCATGGCTAAATTGTTCCTCCAAGAGATTGTACGTTTACATGGATTCACATCAACAATAGTATCTGACGGAGACAAAGTCTTCTTCAGTAGTTGTTGAACCAAAACCCTAAGTAATTAGGCCTAATTTATGTTGTGTTTTAAATAGAATAAGGATGACAATTTATGGTCATCAAATTGTTGTTAATAGTGATTTGGTTAAGGGAGAGACTAGGCTATATAATTCTTAGAGGTTGTTATCGTTAAGAAATGTGGTTGAATGTGAGACTCTTAACACACTCCTCACACTCAAGACTGATACCATGTTAAGAAATGTGATTGAATATAACTCAACTCTACAAAATTAGCTTGTAGAGTGAGGATTGTCCCCACTTATAAGAACATATTCAGACTATATATTATCCGATGTGGGACTCTTAACTGTTATTAGTGTGTCAATTATTTTCTTTAATTGGCAGTTACACCTTACTGATGTGTACATTGTTGATGTGTACAAAACCGTTTCCATTGAATAAAGATATTCCCAACAATTGTTTCCATTGAATAAAGATATTTCCACCATGTAATTGCTGTTGCATACAACAATTATCATATTATGTTAGATCCTATTAGTTTCACATAAATAATTGTAATGTAGATGAGACTCCAATAAAAAGAGAAAGTAGTTATGCTACATTGTTTAAGCAGGTTGTGGGAAGTTTGAGATTTGTGTGCATTACAAGATGGACCATCAGTTATATAGTAGGTGCAATAAATAGATTCATGAGCAATTCAAAGTCATCTCACCGAATATGTGCAGAGAGAATTCCAAAATATCTAGAGGGTACTAGAGTCTGGCCTATTGTTCCCAGCAAGCAAGGACAAATGAGTAGATGGAATTAGAAGGATTTTCTAATTCAGATTTGTGGTGATAGAATTGACATGAGTACATCACACTATTGGTCCAGGTTCATAAATTTGCCAATTTCATACACTTAAGAAGCAAAACACAGTTGCTATGTCTAGTTGTTAAGCAGAATATATGTGGTCGATGCACAAGGAGCTTGTCAAATAGTTTGGCTAGAACCCCTATTGGTAGAGTTGAAGATGCAATTGAATGTTGATAATAAGTCCTATTGGTAGAGTTGAATATGCAATGCAAGTTGCAGACATCTTTACCAAGCCATTAAAAACAATAAGCTAAAAAGAATGTTAGGTCTTGTGCACATTTGGAATCCTTGAATTGAATGTGGGTGTTACGTGCAGTTTGATCATTTAGTTAGTTGGTTAGGATCTAACTACCATGTTTGCTAGTTAGTTGATCAAGCTCGTGTATAAATATATAGTAAGCATTCAATAAAATCAATAGCTCGTTGATATATACTCCCTAATTTCTAACAAATTTATGCATATATACTTAACAAAACATTGAAAGGATAGGAAAGCAATGAAGCTGGTACTGCTTGTTTTGCATCAACATTTAAATAAACACATGTTCCCTCAGCTTCATCCAAACCTCAACATGTCAAACAGGATTGTTCATTCAGGATACCTTATGACTCAGGTGCCTGTTAATTTACTATAACCAACAAAGAGAAATTAGTAGTGTGCCATACGTACCAGGAGAAGCTTCTTACCTCCTTAATATTTGGTGCGATGCAATTAAAGGTCGTGGTTCATCGTATCCCTAGGATACCACTAACAAGTATTGGAGAGATTAAATTAATATCCTGACAAAGTATATTATTAAATCCAGACATATGATTCACTAGCAAGGTTAATACACATGAATCTATATCAAACATGGGAGAGTAACCTTTGATAGGAAAAAGCTTGAGAATCAGTGCTAAATATATAAATAAGTGCAACATGATATCTATGGTGATCCTCTTCTTAAAATTGACACCAATGTTCACCGAGAACTGCTTGTTTTCTGCTTGGCCTTCTCAATGAGGGGCTTCAACTGCTTCTTCTCAGCAAGAATCTTTAGAAAGTTAAACAAAAAGGGTATGTAATTGTGTTTCCTACGGATGTTTTCTGTCCTCCATTTTTTGAACTTCTCTTCCTCCATTAAGATCTTCTCGGTAGCAGCTTCAATCCCAGCATTCACTTCGGAGAGAGAATTGTTCAATACATCGAAACTGCTACTGTCCACCAGTCGCTCTGACTTTGATGCAGCCAGCTGCTGCAAAATCCGCTCCCTTCTCTTCTGAAGTTCCTTCAGCTCGGAAGTATATACTTCTTTCCTGTTCTTGACGATTGCTAGGAGGTTAAACCTTATCTCATTTTGAGAGTACCTTTCAATGCGTTCCTGGATCACAGGTTGCACCAACTTAAGCCATTCCATATCACCTTGCCCACCAGCACACTGACCAAGGCTGATAGGACCCTCCTTCAATCCATCAAGCTCATAAAGTACTCCATCAACAGGTAGATAGCTTATAAAGTGGTAAACATCATCGTCTTTACCAGCAGCCTTTTGCTCGTCAGGGACAAAAGGTTCTGGCCTTGCAAAGCTATTATGGGCTGTACGTATGGCCTCACTATTATTGATGGCCAAACCTTTGAGTTCAGGAGGAAAGTTCTTGGTAAATTCTTTCAGTTTTGTCAACTCTGGACCGATATCAATATCTGGTGAATTAATAAGAATAGACAAGATTGCCTGGGTTGCACAAGCATTATTAATTACCTACAAATTAATCGATAAGATTAGTTAAGTTAGACCATAAAAGTACACAGCAATAATGATTTTGGTGTTTAACTTTTAAAAGAAAAATAACCTGGCTAGCAAAAAATAAGTTGGGGTTGGGATCTTTGATTACAGCACGTTCATCCTTTTCTCCTGGACGCCATTTGAAAAGAAAAACCAATCCGTATACAGGCCTGTGATTGAGTATGGAAACCCCATAGATAGAGAGCAGACAAATGTTCGCTTATTAAATATAACAATTATAACCATCATTAAAGTTCAAGACAGATTGAGAAGTACACTTACCTAAGGCTATTGAGAGAGTCGTGGTCCAGTGAATACAGTTCCTCAACCTGCCAAAGACATATTTAGAATAAGGGCAGCGTATAAAAGAAATTCTAACTGGAGTTAGATAAGGAAAAACTAAATTCACAGAACCCTGGTTTTTACAGAGGCACTCTGGGTGAGAAATTGAAATATTTCGTAGGTCATTAAATAAACGAGATGTGTTTTGAACCTGCAAGAAATAGCAATCAACAATGTGCTTAACTAGTGCCTAGTAACTGCATGCACAAGATTTTCTGGAAGGAATGTAGACGGAAAGGTATGCCATATCCATATTCTAGGACTTGTTTACAGCAAGAAAATATGTATGCATTTTTGTTTCTTATGGTCTCTCTTATGTATGAAAGTGTCACCTTTCATTCCTATTTTCGTCCATTTATAGCAAAACAATGAAAACAACTTCCTATTGTTCTAACTATTCTTATACAATTCTTCTTTCAAAAGTCAAAACAAAAAATAAACCGAAAAAGTTTCCTGAAATAAATCAAACAGGTCCTTAATTTTCATTTTCTATCAATGGTTCATGCCTGAAGGAGAGCTTTGACACAAGAATAATAGTTGCAACCATGTGAGGAAGACGCAATTAGCAGATGCTACAACCATTATTCTTAACAACGGCTCAGCCCAATAGTGTCACGCTCACGCGGAACGCTGCCACTGCTACGCTATTCCGGTATAGTACTGCTATGGCGTGCTATTGACAACATCAATTCTTCCAAAACAAAATATAAACTGAAAACATTATCTGAAATGAATCAAACAGGTTCTTAATTTTCATTCTCTATCTATGGTTAATGCTTGAAGGAAGCTTTGGCACAAAATAATAGTTCCGACCCTTCCTCTGGTAGTTGAATGGGTTTAGGGCATATCAAGCAAATTCAATATCCTTAAGAGGAAACAAAAATAAAACACTACACCACACAAGCTAAAAACTATGAAAAAAATTCAGCAAAATTACCTGTACTCCTTTCACTTGCATTTGCTGAATAAGTTCTGTAAATACACCTAGGGAAAACAAAAAACACAAACTTTAAAGCAATGTACCAATCAAAATCAACCTGAATCAAAAACCCTAAAAAGTAAAAACCCTAGGCACACTTTTAAACATAAACACAAATAAAAAAAATCAAAAATAAAAATAAAATTCAATCAGTAGGTTTACCGGGATCGGACTCAATGGTACACCAAGACATGATTCCAATTTGTACAAATTAAGCTGCAAAAAAAAAAAAACAACACAAGGGTAAGCAATTATTTGTTTATGTCGTTGAAACCGTTAAAAAAAACAAAACCCTGTTCCTAATCTTCTCTTCATAAAGCATAAATATTGCAGTGGTGAAAGCACGAAAACGACGATAAAACTGAATGAAAAAATAGAAAGAGTATACCCTTTGAGTTTTATCGTCTGGTATATCTGAGTGACTCTGTGTTGTTAAGGTCTTGCTCCTGCACTCAATGGAGGTGTATTCTATACTTTATACACCATCATCCACTATTCAATAACTTTCTTATTTTTGTTTTTAAAAACTTTATTTTTATTTTTAACATTATTTTTTATTTTGTTTTTTACTTAAATTATAAAATTTTATATTTAACATTAAAGAAACTATAATTTTTTTTAAATTACAGCATATTATAAAATAAATAAATAAATAAAATTGTTATAAAGTAATTAAACATTTGAAAAATCATGAAATCCAGTCATCATCCTCCACTCCTTTATTCTTTTGAGTCAAATCATATCCAGAAAAGTAAAAAATTCATTCAATAAAACATCAAATCCCGTTATTATTTATTATTTATTATTTATTTTATTTAATAGTATTTTTTTTTTGTTTGTAAAATGATAGTTTTCAGTATTTTAAAATTCAGAAACCACTTTTTTTCTAAATTTGTCACATTCATTATCATTAATCAAATTTTATAAAATAATAGTTTTCAGTATTTTATAATTTAGAAACCACTTTTTTCTAAATTTGTCGCTAAAATGATTATCATTAATCAAAATTTAAAATCCAAGAATCTATCATCATAATTAACTAGCTTTGAGAATAAAATTAATCAAATTTAAATTTTGTTTTTGGATTTTGGATTTTTATTTTTTCTTTTTCAATCCAGAATCATAAATCTATTAAATAAAATTTTAAATTTTTTAGATGTAATTTTCACTAATAAATCCAAAAAAATCATATATTTTTTAATATTTATCGACATTCTTCATCATAAATTTAAAAAAAATCTAGTGAAATGATTTTTCTTCGCTATAAATTAGGAGAAAAGAAAGATAGGATATGATAATAAATAATGTGGAATTAATATCAAATCAAGTTAATGACGAGTAGGGGTGTGGCATGTAAGATAACAGGGCGGGACAAAGACGTTTTTTATCTTTCCTATACTTAAATTTGAATTCTTTAAAAAATATTGTCATCTGAATTCATCTTCGCTTGCACCTAATTCGGTCTCTAATTGTGAACCATTGGAAATTCGTTGATCTTCCACTAATTTGAAATTATTACAAGTGTTTTTTGATACTAACAGATAATCACAGACAAACTAAAAACTTAATGCTAACTAGTTTGCAACACATATCTGAATCTTAATTTTCCTTCTATTGTACATGTGAGGTCTGTGATTGTATAGTTGGCAACAATTTTGGTAAAACAAATAGTTTACAACAATTTGATCAAAATATGTTTTATTTGGAAAACATGTATTAGAGCCTAATGTTGAGCAAGATGTCATAACATCTTGACCAGCTGGTACAACAGAGTCTGTATGTACCTTATTTGACAGATGTTCCAGCAGATGTTGTAACATATTACAACAAAACATCTTGACAATACGTCTGGATTTTATCTTTGAAGATTTGATTTAAAATTTTTGAGTATCTGGAATATTCTGTACTCATAATTGACAGAGACAATCAAGGATTTTATTAGAAACAATAGCATATTTGATTAGATTCTAAAAAAGGATCATTGAGACTTTTTAGGAAACATTTATGAGATTTGTTTCTATTTTTGTGGAGAATATTTTGCAGGTTTTGGGAGCTGCTGATTTGATTTGATTGAAGAGTCCAAGCCCACTGCAAAAGTCTATATAAGGAGTCGTCCAAGACCTAGTTTTTTAAGCATAATTTTTATTGTAAAACCTTGTGAAAACTAAGTATTTTTTTGTATGTCCTTGTGTATCTTTGATGCATTTGAGTTGACTGATTGTTACTTGTTTATCAAGTTATTATTCTTCTCGAAACTTTAAGCAAGAGTTGAGTATTGTTCTTAGTGAAGTTGTTAAGCAAACTAAGTATTTGTAATTGGGAAGTGTGTTCTTCCTTTTTAGCTTCTTGAGACATTTCCTGGGATTGAGATTGGTTTTTTATCACTGCGGTGATTGGAAGTGAGTGGATTCTCATATCTAGAAGGTGCCTAGGTAGAAGTTGCACTAGGTAGGGATTAAGTGAGGGGTGTAAACTGGGATTATTTAGCTCTGAATTGATAGTGAATTTCCTTCCTGGGCTTGGTAGCCCTCAGAGTAGGTGAGTTTGCACTGAACTGAGTTAACAATTTTGTGTGTTCTTTTACTTTCTGCAAGTTATAATTATGCATTATTGTTATCTTGTTTGTTATCCTGTCAGCAGATGCCATAACATCTGTTGTGACATTGTGTGTTGTTAAGACATCAGTTTTGACTTCTGATATTGTGCGTGTCAGAATTTCAATTGGCATCAAGAGTAGGCACCATATTATGTTTATTGGGTGAGATTCAGGAATATATTTTCTGGCACTATGGAGAAAGAATGAGGATATAACAACAGACCACCCATGTTGGATGGTTCAAACTATGACTGGTGGAAAGTTAGAATGATAGCTTTTCTGAAAGCTATGGACAATAAAGCTTGGAAGGATGAAAGCATCCTTTTGTGAAGGACATTGACAAAGATAAGAAATAAACTGGAACTGGAAATATAAAACCTGAAGAAGAGTGGAATAAAGATGATGATAAAAAAGCCATTAGAAATTCCAAGACTTTGAATGCTCTTTTTAGTGGAGTTGACAAAAATGTGTTCAGGCTGATTAATACTTGTATTGTAGCCAAGGAAGCTTGAGAAATTCTCAAGACAACTTACGAAGGTACCTCTAGAGTGAAGATTTCAAGACTTCAACTTCTCACTTCAAAATTCGAAAACCTGAAGATGGATGATGATGAGACAATTCAAGAATATCAGATGAAGATTCATGAAATTGCTAGTGTATCCAATGCATTAGGAGAAAAGATGTCAGAAGCAAAACTGGTCAGAAAGATTCTTAGGTCCGTGCCCAGGAGATTTGACATGAAGGTCACAACAATTGAAGAAGCTCAAAACATCAACAACACGAGAGTTGATGAACTTATTGAGTCACTTCAAACATTTGAATTGGTTATTGGTCACAAGGTTGTAAAAAAGAACAAAAGCATAGCTTTTGCATCTAATGCTGAAAATGATAAGGTCAAGCTAACCTGGACACTAATGAGGATCTGTCTAATACGATTATTCTTCTTGGGAAGAAATTCAATAGGGTATTAAAAAGATTGTAAATAAGAGGGAGATCAGATGTCAAGAACGTCTCATATGACATCTGTAACAATCTTGATTCTTAGAAGAAAACAAGATCAGAAGAGAAGCCAAGTTAAAACAGAGGCATTCAATGTTTTGAATGTGGAGGATATGGTCATATTAGACCTAAATGTCCCAACTTCCTCAAGAAACAACATAAGGGTTTCACTGCATCTTGGTCTGATGATGATAAGTCATAAGATGAAGATAATTCTGAGACTCTCAAACTTGTGTTGGCTCTATCTAGTAGATGGGCAGATGAAGTTGAAGCTTGTGATGAGAATGATCTTTATGAGGACCTGGATGTGTCATACAAGGATACTTATGACAAGTGTGAATAAAGCCTCAAGAAAGAGAAAAAGTGGAGGAAGATCATTACTGATTTGGAAAATGAAAGGAAGCAACTCCTAAGTATTGTTTCTCATATACAAATTAAGGTAAAACACTTAAATTCTAAGCTTGATAACTTGACTGATTCCATAAATATGGTGAAAAAGGATGAAGATACCAGAGTTGATTATCAATCTGATAATAAACTGAGGAGAATGTCAGAAGAAAGGGTCTTTCCTTTTGAGAAAAAGAAAGAGATCGACATGTCCAAGCACATGTTACAACATCCTGGCAGAAATAGTGAATTTTCAAATCAACCTCAATCTACTTGGAGATGTTACTATTATGGTGAGTCTGGTCATATAAAGCCTTTTTGCTTCAAATTATATGGAGATAAAAAATCTTCAATTCGTTCCAAGGCTAAGAGCAATAAGAGAAGTGATGAAAATAGGGATGTTAACCTTATAGCTCATACTTCCTTGAGAGACTCAACTAGTGAAGACTGGTACTTTGACAATGGATGCTCTAGACATATGACAGGGGTCCAAAAGATGTTGGTGGATGTCAAGCCTCATCCTATAGGTTTTGTTAGATTTGTTGATGGTTTTAATGGAGAAATCAAAGGAGTTGGGAAGCTTTTGTGTGATGGTTATCCCAGGTTAGAAAATGTATTGTTTGTCAAAGGACTGCCTACTAATCTTATTATCATTAATCAACTGTGTGACCAAGGTTGTTAGTCAACTTCTCAAAATCAGAATGCCTTGTCAAAGATGAGAAATAAGTTGTTATAATGAAAGGAATAAGGTCCAAAGACAAATACTATTTGTGGAAAACTCAAATAGTTGTTTACTCGTCCACATGTCCAACAACCAAGGAGGATGAAGTGAAGTTATGGCACTAAAAACTTGTATATCTTCATTTCAAAAGAATGAAGGAAGTCATATATGAAGGAACCATTAGAGATATGCCAGAGCTCAAGATTGAAGAAGGAGAAGTCTGTGATAAGTGTGAAAGTAAAAAAGAAAACCATGATGTCACACCTAACGTTGCAACATCAGACTACTTTTAAAGTTTTGGAACTTCTTCATATGGATGTAACGGGACCATTACAGATAAATAACTTAGGAGGTAAAAGGCACATCTTTATGGTTGTAGATGACTATTCTGGATATAGTTGGATGGATTTCTTAGAGAAAAAATCAAATACCTTTAAATTCTTCAAAGATCTGTGTTAAAGCATTTAAGAGGAGAAGATGAGTGTGGTTG